AGCCAGTGTTAATTGGAACAGCCGAGTGCTATTTCAGTCTATCTGAAACACGGGTCCGCGAAAGCCATCCGTTAGCAAGACAATAGCTGAGAAAGACGGACTGTCGATTTATTCTCAGCGTCGTCGTCTAGCCTGTTGTGCGAAACACTTTGAATAGCAGTTCAGCATGCCTGTTGCGACACAGCCGCGTGCCGAATCACCTGAGCCGACGTGGGAAGCAAATGTCACACCTCTCACTTTGGAAGAGATTCGACATAAGCCTTCGGTGACCCTCCTCCATCTTTGCTGGAAGATAGTGGTGACCATTTGTTAACTGGATTCGCTACGCTATTTAACGCGATTTGGAACAATGAAGAGGTGCGTTCAAACTGGCTGCTGTCGTGCCCATCTTCAAGAAGGGTCAGCGTATTTTGTGCGAAAATCATTGGGGCATTAGCCTTGCACTCGTTGCATTCAAACTCCTCACGGGTATCATTCTCCGACGAATTACTGGTCCCCGTGAGAATCGAATCATCGAAAGCCGGGCTGGCAACCGCCCTGGTCATGGTTGACGGACCACATATTTACTTTGCGCCAAGCGTTAGAGAAGACACACATACATACAACTGACTACGATGGTTTCCCGTGACTTGAAAGCTGCCTTCGACTCTGTTGCCCGCGCCAGCTTGTGGCACTGCCTATCCATGAATGGCGTGCTGGATAAATTCTTTTCCACTATGCAGTCTCTCTTCTGTGACTTCCGAGGCCGTGTAAGGGTTTACGGAAAGCTATTTCCTGAGTTTCCCACGACAAGTAAGGTTCACCAGGGTTGTCCTATATCTCTTTTCCTCTGCAACTGTATTATCGAAATGATCTGTACTTTAAGATACTACCGAAGTGGAAGTTCTGCCAAGCGGACGACATAGACCTTCTTGGGTCTGACGCAATGGCTGTGCAAACACTACCGGATAGACTGACGCGTAGCGCTGCACGGTTCGGCATGTTTTGCACCTTCGAAGTTCAAAGTACTGATGCAGGACTGGACCGACAAACCTCCGGTTTTGCCTATCACCGAACACCAACTAGAATTGGTGGATCGGTTCACTTACCTTGGTAACTGCGTTACTTCTGGTGGTCACATCACCGAGGAAGTTACTTAGCGTATTAGCAAGGGCCGTGTGACTTCCCAGACGCTCAAACATCTATGGAGGCGGCGAGATATCCGCTTGCCAGTGAAAGATAGGGTGGATAACGTTGCGGTAAGTTCGGTCTCACCGTATGGATCAGAGGTTAGGTCAGTTCGCGACAAAGACATTTAACGCTTGGCCTTGTTTGACCACCGGTGTTTGTAGTGTTATTCACGTCTGGTGGGGACACCGAGTGAGCGATGTTGAGGTCCGCCAGTTAGTTTTTGGCAAGAAACCTTATAGTACCTCACTCGTGTGTTTGCTGAATCTTAATCGCCCACGTTGGCTAGGCCATGCCCTACGTATGCCCGTTGATTGGCTTTCTCGGCATGCATTAAACGCCATGGCTGCACCAAGTTGGGTGAAACCGCGAGGTGGCCAGTCCATGAGGCTACGTAGTGACATGAAGAAATTGACTGAGAGACTTGGTCAGGCTGGTGCATGCCGTCTTCCGTGGATGGAGGCCTCGGGATAGTCCACACCAATGGTTAGAGACCGTATCTGACATGGCGCAGTCACGTAGTCAGTGGCATTCCTGCATTCGGTTTCTTGCATCTGGTTGTTACTTTTTGTTCCATTCTCATTAGTTTAACGCGCCTCCTTTTGCTTCCACTTTCTTTGCATTCTATTTGCAATAGAGTCTTGCCGTTGTTATTTGTTGTTATTCTTGTGATGTGAGTCGTGGCGACTGGATCCACCGCGCTTTGGTGCTCGGAACATCGTTGATCAACTGAAGTTAAATGAACAAAACCCAATGAGGTATTGGGCGCAAAACGACCACAAGATAAAAATTAAAACAGTGAAACTGTTCTCACACACATTTGCTGCATACCTTGGTATGGAGCTAGGTAAGATAAATTAAACGAAAAGTCCCAAATACAACGACAAATAAAATATCTCAGACGATTTAGCCCGTATAATGACAGAAGCACTCAGTGTATTTTCTTCCATGAAAAATCTACAACTAATAACTCCTCGCAGACAAGGCCTCGTGAAGCCATTGAGAAGTCAATTCGAGATGAACTGGCTGGTTCTATGATGAGAACTACCGCCTATTTGCGTAGCCACTTGAGGCTGTAACACCTTGCACACTGTTTTAACGAGCCCGGTTGATTTCCATTCTAGGCATACTAGACATAGAAAGCGCGGTTCTATTCAGCACGCTGGTAACCAGCAACCATCTGTTAAAACTAATGCTTCTTCTCATCGGCATAAACAGAGATCGGACGGCAACATACTCCAACCAGGTCTTTGTTTGGCTACGCTTCAAGCGTGGCAACATCATGCGAATCACTGCGAGACGGACGAATACCTCACTGAGTGAAGTGTTCATGTTGACCAGGTCCGTGCTTAACTGTGTGGTGTAAACAATTACGACAAAGCAGTGCAGTTTCCATATGTTGCTATGGAACCATGTTGGGTTCAGTGGCCGAAGCTTTGGCGTCGGATTTGGTGAACTTAATTCTAGGCAGCTACGTAAGCAGATGGCAGCTTGCACTGCGGAATCGGGGAATCGAAGCGCCGGACGACCTTAGCAAGCACAGTGCATTTAAGGAGATCGGGTCATCACGCTAACTCCGAGGCATCCTTTTCACTTTTCATGTGCATTCACAAGCATGAAAAATCACCAACGCGTGTGAAGTAACAGCGGGAATCAACTTATATTCTGTTAAAGTGAGGTATACCGTTTGGTTTCGAATCGACTGTCAACTGAGCTCGAGTGGCCCAGTTTGTGACATGCGATTGTTTGCACTTTGCACGTAGAATAGGATATGCAACATAACTGCGTCAGCTGACAGCTAACATTCACTGATACTCTCTTTCTGAGACACATTATCGACAGTAGCTTAATTCGCTATAAGCACAGCCGAACTGAAAACGAAAGGCATCAGCAGTACCTCGGTCCACAGCATTGCCGTCAAGCGCTCAACACCAGTATCGAGTCTTATCCCCCCGGCCATCGGCCAAATGGATCTCCGATCGAGGCACCCGCTTAAATAGTTTATTTTACTCACTGCCTTTGTAATGTTGTGCGCTCAACTTGGTCTTTACGAATCGTGATCAGTGGCCAAATGGGAACCTAAAATTTGACTAGCAATGTCTGCCCTCTAGTGCTCCGGTATCGCAGAAGCAAATTTATTGGTGCATTTGTTTGAAGACGTTAACGCTTTCCACCGTAAGCGCACTTAATGGGACATGGATTTACCTAAGTGATATGGTCATTGTTGCTAAATTAGCTGACGAAGAAAACCGTGACGACCAATTACGAATGGAGAAGCATCCAAATACCAGCTCTGTTCAAGCTTGTAAACCTAGTTGGTCTATTGCCTCAGGTTAGAAGTGAGGACATCAATTCCTGACTCCTAGTATAGAGCAAAAGGCGTTGGCTCCATTTTTATCTTCTATCAAGCGATCGAACAAAGTCACCAATGCCGGTTACAGAGTGAACCCGGGTTTTAACCTAAGCGCGCCTTGTAAGCTTTCAAATGCCCCCACGTGTGGACAGGTATTCGCACATACCAAGGCCGGCCGCTAACCGACGGCTTGCGCACAAGTTGTGCCTATCAAGGCATATCCATTTCATGGACGTGTTCGCGAGTGGATGGGCGTTGGTAGGTGCAACCATCCCGCAACGCCTAATTTATATCGCCTTAAATACGGTGGCTTATTGATACGGAAAGACCTGATGATACAAAACGAAATGATAAATAAGCAAGGCGAGTTTTGTAAACCACTGGTCCGGTGTCAATGGCGATTCAGTTTTATCTACCCGTTGCCTCAGAGAATGCAGGAGGATAGTAAGTGCTTCAGAAGGATGCGTGACACCTCAGAGCGCATGACAGTGAATGGCTAACGGTGTAGTCCATTCATCCAGAAGTGCTTTACGGACTTGTTGGAACAGATCATCGTCCACTGTGATAACTGAACATTTGACAGCCCAAACAAAAAGGAGGGTTACGTGATTACTATTTCGATTTAGTCCTCGGAAATGCTTTTTTCTGATTAGAGAGAGTGACAGTCCTAGATTTTCTACACCGTCTTCGACTGAGTTATACGGAAGAACCCATCCACAGAACATATAACCTCGATCATCAGAAAGTCTGTCAACCCGACAGCTTAAATCTTATATATTTTGTCAGTAATAGTGAAGGGTTTACCAGAATAAAAATGGTATCATGCTAAATTCAACGAGTTATGGGTACCAGATACACACAAGATTTGGCCCACTGATTGTGATTCGTGCACAGGAATATCACAGCATGTTCAGTTGGTGTGCAATAGATTTGCTCATTATACAAAGGAATATTACTCCACCATTTTTGTTTGGCAGTAACTCAAACACCATAGTAGATTTCGTTTTTTGACTCTCGTGATGCAAACTGATTGTGGGTTTGGAAGAAAACTGGATGAGTCGGACAGTGCAAACGAGGCGTCGCAGTTGCGCGGTACTAGCGGTGAAGTGCGGTATTTCTTGATCAGATGGTCGGATAGAGGTTGGCATTAGTATGCGGTGTTTGTAGACCAGGCGTTCATGGTTAAAACGCTCAGTCTCCAGTTCAGATCATAATCCACATACCAATGCAAGCCAAATGTTAGCGTTGCGATGCAACCGCGGTAGGAACTGAACATTGTCATTAGTCATATAACCACTATGCTCTGATGTTTACATACGCCAAAGGGGAGTAAGTGAATGAGAAAATGGTGGCTTTATTTGAACAACTGTAAGTTCAAAGGAATTACGACAGCCATCTTCAAGTTTATTCTTATTTACATTAGTCGATTCGATAAATTAATGGAAATCTGACCTTTACGACACTTTCTCTCGTGTTCTAGGTCGCAGCGTCAGAGACGTAGATTGGGATAGTATATCTGCCCAGAAGCTTCGTATGCGATCACGGCGTCGATTCCACAATCACTCGGATCTCCACACAACGCCAATAAACAAGACCAGCACGTGGTGGAAGGGCAGCTCACCAAGAGGAATGCATGATGGTGATCAATACTTTATTCGCCAAACCAATCGAGATTATAGTACAAATGAAACATTCGGTCGCGAACGGGAATACTTAGTAACCGACCATACTGGCAGTCCTTACGGAGATGATACGATTGTGACACGGTACGACAACGATCCACAACCTCGTTTACAATCTTCAGGGTCAGAAGCGACCGTATGGGTAGCGTCAGATTATGTCGAACCGGCCACAGTTCGGATAAAGGACGAGCAAAAAGCAGAGCACCCTCTCCACATGACATGTATAGATACAAAGCAAACGATTCACCGACGTATTAGCAGGTCGTTTGAATTTCCCCGACTCTCCCATTCCCCCAACACCAACGGAACTATGCCTGTCAAAGGGCACGTAACTTCTGCATGGAACTTTTACTCGGTTCCCCCGCCAGAAGAGAAGAATACACCAGATCCGGCCAGCATGTGCGCAGATCCATGAGACGTGTGCTCAAAACGGAGGCATTTACTTGTTGGGCCCCTTTCCCCGTTTGTAAGAAGTAACGAGAGCCAGAATTTTCTACCGAACAAACAATAGGCAAAAACAGTTCCATTTTCAAACGCATCCAATCATGGATCGAATACATATCTTTAGGGTTGGATGGCTTCGGGTATCCGGTCGTCGTTGCTAATTTTGTCATATTTGCGGGTTATCATGTCAACTATGATCCGAGCACAAAAGTGCGATTGGCACAAAATTGTCATGACGCAGGTCTTCGGAAATATAACGACTGATAACAGCTGTGAAAAAGCGATAAAAGAACCAACCTAACAAACAAGGACGGAGTGTAGAATGGAAAAGAGCAAAGAGGCAGTCGTTAGACGGTGAAGGTGACAGGGCTAAAGCTAAAGCACTACGAATTTAATGACGTCGTTATATCAGAGTGAGCTTTTAACCGCTAAAGTGGCCCGACCCGCGGGTCCCATCCAGAAAGCGGATATACATTGATCTAGCCCGTCAGTTTCTCTAAGCATTCTTGCTGCTTCATCGGTCGGCGATTCTGTGGTTCAACCCAATCAGATGCAAATTTGGCATAATTTGCGCACAGATAGGTCGAGGGGTGTTCCAAGAATGGGACCAAGAAAGATGATCCAAAAGTGGGGCCAGAAAGTTCGTTATAGAACATTGATAAACTTCCACATTGCTCATTAGATGATACCGCCAGATATTGTCTATGCTACTCAAGGAGTGCTAGGCTCTTGATGTCTTTAGCACGCAGTGATTACGCCTCTTCTCCAAGCAATTGTACTGACCCATAGAAATGTTGCGTGATCTACTCACAGTGAATAAGCCATGGTTGCACTGCTTCTATACGTGGTAAAAGTTTTGAAAACCACACACGCTTCATCGATCCGAGTAGTGACCCGACTAGCATCCTTAATTCCAGAGTTGATTCAACAAATCAAATGACAAAAGATGAAGCACCTGCAATAGCGCCCAGATCGGGATAAGGACAGCTGGCATGCGTACCCAGGTTTACAAGCGTACACTGCATTTAGAAAACGCGGACGATAGACGGAAGTATACATTGTCTTGCGTTAACACATACGAGAGCATTTGATTAGCGGCGGAGTCTGACCTGAAAAGACTCTCTTGTAATCGTACATCTTTAGTCCATCATCCACGCAAATAACGGAACATCAACTACCGAAGTAGCTTGGAAGCAGTTCCAGTACATAGCGAGCATAAATTCGAAGTAAAAAGAAGTCACTAAGCGGTTCAGATGCATCGAGGAAGATTTGCTGTAGACAGGCATATAGATTTATGAGATGGGATATATGGTTTGTAGGATGGCAATGGACTTTGTGGGTGTGGTTTTGAAAGACGGACAATGATTCAAACAAGTGAAACACACTGAACAGTTTGATGTGCTCGTTGTAGGAGCATCACAGTCTCAGGACCCCATGAAGTATAGACGTATGAGCGATGCACCTTCTTCTAGTGAGGAATTTTGGCTGACATTCGCCGGTTCTGCTTTCCTATGAGTCGTAGTAGGATTTTACGCATGTGAGGCAATAAGCCCAATGCTCGATGCTTTCTCATGGTATCTTGAACGCTTTTGGAGTAACGGACGATGGTTGATAGGCCAACATTCAGTAAGTCGTCATCCAACTTCAGTGAAGACAGAGATGTCATCACGTCCAGATTGCTTGCTTCGCGTTAGCCGCGCCAGTTTAGCCAACATTTCTTCAATACGTAAACATTCCAGGTAAGTTCACTGGCTTACACAAACCGTGCCATGCAAGTATGACTTTTCAGAATGCTTGTCCCAAGGATTAAACTAATAAGCCCGAGGGTTAATCAGCTATCCATTTTGCTTGATAACTTTTCCGTTCATTGGAGACTTGCTTATACAGTTACTACGAACGGGCTGAATAAGCGTTCGCCTGTTCCCAACGATGTTATCCGTTTCTGTACGCTAAATATTGCTCCTAATTTGTAGCACTTGTTCAAACACCGATCGAGCGTAAAGTGGGTCCTGACACTGGATGCCAATCAGGATGCCTTTTGCTTGTTTCGAGCAAGCAACTCGAAGTGACAGAAACACATTCCCGATTTGTATGCTCAGTAGAGACAACTCCAAAAGATATTATGCACATGTACCTCATTCTTCAGCAGTAGTCAAAAATGAAACGGCATAATCAAGCTGATTTGATATGCTTAGTTCGTTCTATGTCGTAACGCGGCATCTGCCTCTGCTGTCTGCACTGCCAACCCAGCCGCGGATGAAAAACAAAACACCAAAGCCTGCTAGACCGAAGTATGTTAGGAACGGAACACAGTTAATTTTATAGGTCACATGCTATTATCTCCCGGTGTAAGTTCCTGAACTCACTCAAGACACTTGACCTGGACAGATTTCAAACTTGCTCGCGGTCTGCACTGGTCAGCCGTTGTCGCGCTCTGTCACGTAGCGGTCTGATTTCGTCAGCATCCGCTGTGAAGTTGCTGGGAATTTTCAGCGGACGTTATCGAAGGCTGTGCGGCGATCTCATATTAGCGTATCAGATATTGAGTGACCCCAACCACGTATGCCGCCATTTGCTGAAATTTAGCCACAACACGCAGCTCAGGGGTAACTGCTTAAAGTTGAAGGAACAATATAGCCGTCTAGAGTGGCGACGGAATTACTTTTCCCTTCGGGTTTGCAAACCATGGAACGCACTCCCAGACTCAGTAGTATCCTCTCCTACCCTGGATGTTTTCAAAAAACGCTTAGATGTTGCTCTCAGCTCCCAACATTTTGTTACCTAAGCTCCTCTGTTGTGGATTACGCCAAGCATGTTTTCAACAGGACTAATGTATCAAATGGACCTAAGTGAGCGACCATATTTTGTTTTCTCACACCTTACCTCAACTATCACTGCGCCCCAGTGTCTTTCTGAATGTTTACGCGCGATATTTCTTTTTCATTTTACACTGATGTTAATTATCAAAGTATTCATCTCGGCAGACGTTCGATAGATGACCCAGACATATTTTAATTGCATCATATTCACCGCTACCATCCTACGGGACGTGTCAAGCACTTGCTTTTATCCCGTGATAAATCATTGTTCATTGTTCATCTGTGTTACCGTCGGTCGGGTAGCAACCCGTGTCATTCAGATAGACATCTCGAAACCGTGTCATGTACTTCGGCTGCAGCCACCGAGTACCTCCCTTTTCGAATTGAGTCTGCTTGCGTACTGTTCGAACTCGACTTTGTTCATAGGTTTTCGCCTTGGGGTCAAATTGTAGTCACGGAGGTCGGTTCCGCTTTCAGACCCTCCTGCACTGTGCGTCATCTGGTGTTTGCAGCTCCTGTTGTGATACACGTAGCCGCTCAGCCTCCTCTTTCAAGTCCATGGTGTATAGCAGGGTGTCCCACGGTAAGAATGGCGGTTCTGGGAAACTCTGAGTCTGGTCGTGATTCCGTCTCAGCTGATTAGCGTGCCTAAAGTATTTCTCACTTCCTACCATTACTGGACAGATGACTCGACGGAAGACTGTGATCACTTTTTCTGTCGACCACCTTCTCGCTTCTCGGAAGTCTCACACGTACACCATGTCACTAACTTTGAAATGACGGATCCTGTCTGTCCGCTTTTCCCCCGTATGACAACTGTAATGCTTTTCTTTCCTGTTTGGCCCTAGGCGCTTTGTTCTGGATACTGCTTTAGTGACTGACTTGAGGTTCAGGGCAGCACTGGCCATTCTGCAGTATTCCAGACTAGGTTGGAGCATGGTTTCGCGACGTCTTTGTATCTGAGTTATCTGACTGGCATTGGTTTCTACCGTCGCGTACTTACGCCTAATGGGGACAACAAATTTGGAAGTGGCAGTGTGGCAGAAGTAGTGCTCTTCCCTGGATTCCGAAGTTGCAACCACATAAGTGCTAGGGTTCAAGCTGACCAGCCTCCTGCATTCTGATGCAATTTCCTGCGAAGTCAGCTTCGGTTTTGGTACCAATTCTACTTAAATGTTCAATTTTTGTGCTAAAAGTTCGATCTGTGACTTCTCGAACTGCATCTGTTGCGGCAGATAAAGTGCCTGCAATTATTCGAAGCTGACTGCCATTTCCGGGTTCGAATGAAAAGCTTCATCGCCACTGTTGTAACGCTGCCCTCGCATCTGTTGTCTGCACACCCAGCCCAGCCTGGGACGTAAAACAAAACACCAAAGCATGCTAGACCGAAGTATGTTAGGAACAGAACACAGCTAATTTTATAGGTCAAATGCTATCATCTCCCGTTGTATTTTCCTGAGCTGACTCAAGCCACTTGCCGTGGCCAGATTTCAAACGTGTTTGCGGTCCGCATTGGCCATCCATTGTCACGCCCTGTCACGCAGCAATCCATGTGATGAACAATGGACAATGATTTATTACGGGCAAAATGCATGTGTTTGACAAGTCCCGTAGGATGGTTGGAGTAACAAATAAAAGTTAAAGGATCATCGAATAAGTAAATCGTTATTTCAAGCGTCCACCGAGTTAAATACACTACTGCATAACGATAGTTTGAAGTGGAAATGGGATGTGCACACGCAAAATAGTGAAAAGTGCCGTTATAGTTCAGTAAATGCGTGAGAAAGAACAATGGCAACGACAACGCTCAATCATTTGTTTCTTCATTTGACATATGTGGTATGTAAAACCAGTTTAATTACATACAGACTACTCACATGGACACTACTGCATTGATCCTCACCGCCATGTTGTGGAGAGGGCAGTTAAGCACCTGGTTAGGTTTGCGTTATTTTGCCCTCCAAGTGAAACGGATTATATCAAGTAATACAAGTTAGAAAGCGTTTCATCAAGGCGTTTTTTCGAATAGCCTTAATGTAGGAGTAAGGATAATGTGAGTCAGAATGGCGTTCCAGGCGCGAGACACACGGAGTGAGAAAACGTTTCGTCGACAATCAAGTCGACTGTAGTGCGTAGCCAGTTTGAGCTGATGGCGTCTCACGTTGGTATTTTGGCTCAGCTGCAACAGATTGAGACAGGTTTGAGGTGGCTTCTTCAGTAGTAAGGAACCCAAGCTGAGGTCTCCTTGCTGACGTCGATATTCACTACTGTACAATCTCAAGGACTGCAGTCTGCGTTAACAGGAGAGATGAAACAATCCTCTAACGAGTTTGGTCGCTCTACGTCGTGGAGCTTCAA